GTATGGGAGCTACGAACATCTTAGCGCTACGATAGTCGTAAGTCTATGTTAAAGTATGGGAGCTACGAACATCTTAGCGCTACGATTGATGGAGATGATCCAGAACAATCCACTCCACCACCTTCCTTAACCCGATGCTGCATCACCGCGATGCTATCCTGGCACCTGAATGCAGAACCCATGATCTCTATCTGATTGATTTCTTGAAAGTTCCCTCAGGGGCGGTGGGGTAGTCTAGTGGTTAAAGCGTTGGCTCGACACGCCGAAGACTCGGGTTCGAATCCCCACATGGGTACAATGGGTGAAGCCCATTTCTGGTGTCCCTCGCCGTGATATTGCTGGAATATTGCTAAAAGCGGCGTAAAACCAAACTCAGTCAGTCAGTCTTCCCTCAAGCTGGTTCTGGCAATTAAATCTGCAGCTTAATAAAAGTTAATACCTAGTTAAATTCGTCCTAGAAACGGGTGGGATCGGGTGGTTGGGGTCGGTGACCTGGATGATTGCGTGCCACCCTACTCCGACGGCTGGTTGTTCATAATATCTATCACATGGTTACCTGAACCAGAGAGGTATGTGCGTGTGTGCACATGCATGTTTATGCGGGTATTTGCATGTGTCTGTTATTTGAGTCCACTCATTGTGGAAAACGGCTTGTATCCTCTCAAGTACGTACCGATAGAAAGAATTCCAAATGACCTCAGTTAATCAAATATCCTACACTTCCGCCAAGTATATGAAAAACATATTCTTGAATTCACGTGTTAACACGGAACCAGGCTAGTTATTCTCGAAACTTCTTAAGCCCTAAGATCTTCTTAAGCCCATTCTTAACACATTGGCTACGATCAAAGTTAAGAATTGTTAGGGCTACGAACGTTTCGAGAGTAAGTGCAGAAAACAATGAACATCTTTACTTAAAAGAATAAACAGGAAAATTTAAAGCCTGATTTAACGTGACTCAGAGTCTTTCAAAGGCATTTTGAAGTTGGTAGAACATGAATACATGACACCCTTTATGTATATCACCTTCTTTCCTCCTTGCAGGGGTTCAAAATCTTTTTAAAAAGTCACTTGCCACTGGGCAAGTGACTTTAAGAAAGTAACGTGTCCTGACTAATTTTCCACTTGCCCTGATTTTATGAAATAATCATGATGATGTAATTATGAAAGAATAAATCAACATGTTATTTGATGTTAATGTTTACTGGACTATTTATTGAAAAGTGATAAATAGTAAAAAAAGATAACTCTACTTTATTATCATTGCGAAATTTAATAGCTACATTTTGAGCAGATATGGAATTTAATCCAAGTTTATTTGCAGTTTGAAACCATAAGTGGAAATTATCTAGTAGCCCACGGACAAGTAAGATACCATTATTTGATTGCCCGAAATGCAAACTCACTTGTCCCGGGCGTCGGGCAATGGGATTTTTGAACCGGTCACGATGTTTCAGAGCTTCTTGTGTCTTCATCTTTTATCCACCTGATGGAAGAGCAAGAAGTAGCTCTGAAATGTCATGGCCACGAATAGAAGGTGTTAGCCATAAAAAGTCTGTATTTAACTTGATTTTGCTATGGAGCAGAATATGCTCACCATTTCGCAAACACCAGCTCCACTTATAGTCAGTTGTCAATTGATATGAATTTTACCGCGATTTGACATTTTGCAACAATGGAATCTATTTCGGTAGGTTTTCAAGAATGATTAATCTTTGGCGTTGGCGTTTTATTTTTCTCCCTCCAGAATTACATTCTGAAAAATAAGCTGTTTGTAAGAGATGATCTTAAAGAATAGGTGTCACAATGCACAAGCACTATTGATATAAATGGATCCATGTTGGTCGTGACTTGGGTGCATTAGCCCGTCTAACATATCAACCATTTGAACGGTATCCTGTACGACATTAACACTCATAGTGATTTATTTTGTCACTTTCGATTCTTTTTCCACCACGCTCACGCAACTTGTGACATTTAAAAAATTATCAACCGAGACATTTCAGAAAGAAGAGGCATCCCTTTTTTAGAAGGATATCAGCCAATTTAAGAACAAAGGCTTCTGAACAGATCAAATATTGATCCCCCACCGTCCAAAATATTAATCTATTTTTGTAATTCGATACTGCTTTTGTATGTAAATGACATGTTATCAAGTACGCTTGTACGCAGTTGAAGCACAAGGCGGCATTTGAACAAGCCCACACCAAATGTGCACTTTTGCTAACGCTGTTGCATAAATACATTAACATAAGTCTGTTTCGTAATATTGGGCGATGGGGTAACCTTGTGGTTAAAGCGTTCGCTCTTCACGCCGAACACACGGGTTCGATTCCCCCATGGGTACAATGTGTGATGCCCACTTCTGGTGTCCCCCGGCGTGATATTGCTGAAATATTGCGTAAAACCATACTCACTCACTGTTTCGTATTGCCTGTGTCCGTTAGGTGCATATGTGCATGGTGATGACAATATCCAAACAAATCACCGACTGTTGGTGCAGTGGATAGAGCCCCTGTCAGGAGAGCGGAAGGTCGGTAGTTCGATTCCCAAGCATCACATTAGCATGTGTTCTAAACCAGTTTTACTTGGAGTGAGTGAGTTTAGTTTTTCGCCTCACTCAGCAATATTCCAGTTATATGGTGGCGGTCTCTAAATAATCGAGTCTGGACCAGACAATCCAGTGATCAACAGCATGAGCATCAATCTACGCAATTGGGATACGATGACATGTGTCATCCAAGTCAGCGAGCCTGACCACCTGATCCCGTTAGTCGCCTCTTACGACAAGCATGGGTTACTGAAGATCAATTCTAACCCGGATCTTCACGGATCAGTTTTACTTGGAGTTTACGTAAGGTCTCTCCTCACATAGTACATCTATACCTTCGTCTATGTTGAAACAGTTCGGCATCTGCTTAAGATACCTGCAAATAAGGAAATGATGTAATGTAATACCGTCATGGATATGTTTGATCAGCTATGTGATGAAATTTGCTCATCCAGCATCGACTTCCAACGGATACATCGTCATACCACGACAGCGTTGTACGTTGTGGTTGCTATATCCCAGTGGTGTTCCAGGATTCGAATGGGAGTAAGATGTACCCGATCGTACCAAATACTATTTGGATGTTCAGGTTACTCAACGCATTGTAGATTCTACGTTCCTCTTTCACCTATGGAGATATAGGGGCGGTGGAGTAGCCTAGTGGTTAGTCGTCACGCCGAAGGCCCCGGTTCGATTCCCCGCATGGGTACAATGTGTGAAGCCCATTTCTGGTGTCCCCCCGCCGTAATATTGCTAAAAGCGGCGTAAAACCCAACTCACTCACTCATTCACTATGAAGATATACGTACATTGAACTGCAGTAGTTGTGCGAGTCTCACATAAGGTCAGGAAATGACTTGAGGCCGTGTAGAACTCGGTGACCTAAAGGCCAGAGAACCCAACTTCGTGCATGGTGCCCACCTTTATCTGATAATGGCCGTAGGCCGGAAGGTTGGAATAGTAGCTCATATTGCATGTTTATTGCCTTTACTGCTGATTGGTCATAGAACTCTCTGGTATCCCTCTGAGTGCTGGGGGCGGTGGGGTAGCCTAGTGGTTAAAGCGTTCACTCGTCACGCCGAAGACCCAGGTCAGGATCGGTCACTTGGTTGATGCGTGTTATCGTATCCCAGTTGCGTAGATCGGTGTTTATTATCTGGCAAGGCTTTCTCGTCCCGACATGCGACCCGTGAAGGTCCGGGTTAGAATGAACCTTCAGTAATCCATGCTTGTCGTTAGAGGCGACTAACGGGATCGGGTGGTCATGCTTGCTGACTTGGTTGACACATGTCATCGGTTCCCAATTGCGCAGATTGATGCTCATGCTGTTGATCACTGGACTGTCTGGTCCAGACTCGAATATTTACAGACCGCCGCCATATAGCTGGAATAGTGCGGTGTAGAACTAAACTCACTCACTCGTCCCGACATGCTTATTTACAGACCATATATCTCGAAATATTGCTGTGTTTGTTATGGGATGTTGATGGGTTTGAATGTATAATGTTGTTGGATGGTGCGTATGAGTGTGCGTGTGTGTGCGTGTGTGTGCGTGTGTGTGCGTGTGTGTCTGTGTCGAGTCGACTGCTCTTCGACGAGACGTCATTCTGTTGGTATTGCGTGAAAGCCATCCATTTGCGAAATATTTATTGGGTTCGAATTCTCGGACGTTTAACTTCTATTTCTACCGTTGGTCACATATTTTCTAACACCTTAAAATACATGTCATCATCCACTCTGACTTGAGTTTCGTTTTAATTTGCAATAAGTGTTTGGCCAACGTAACTTCGAATTCATCAACGCTTACTCGTCGATAAGAACGCATCCTTGGTCTAATGCGTCTGCGCGGAGAAGAGCAGGTCGAGAGTGTACTAATTGTTATCCGGCCTGGCAAATGGTATGAATATGATAATGCAGTGACTGACTTTGACCTATATTGTATTTTTGTCCGGTATCCATGTTAACTGGTGTCGTATCCTCGCAAGGTATCAGTATAATTCCCACAAGTTTGTATGTGCATTGCTTTAAAAAGTGTTATAATATTGAAAGACCACTTTCATCTATTCGCTATTTGAAGAATGCCTTGTGAAGAGATTTCAACGCAGACTGCAATGAATCGCATTCTAAAATTCGTTATCATAAAGCTTACGGACTTACCTTCAAACAAGCTGTTTGCACAATGCTTAACAATTGCAAGTGTTGTAAAACTAACCATTCACGATTTCTATTTAACAAAAGTAAAGCATTTTATCTCTCAGTTTAGAATTTCAACCCCACTGATAAGATATGTGAAGACGGTGTATAGCTCTCGTAAGGGCATTATTAAGTTTCCTATCTACATGTATCTAAAAGGTCATTTTAAATCCTCCGAATCGGCGTATTAGTGCACTTGCCTATCTAGTAATGTTACAAAAATGTAGTTTTAAAAAATAATGTCAGTGCAGCTGAGATAGTTTCAAGGAACATTAGTGACGACTTCAAAATACAAGCGTCCCAAACAATTGCCTTGCTCACGGATGTGCAAACGTGTTTGAGCTGAGGAGACATTACCTGTCTCGTCTTGTCACCAACATGCTGAAGATCTGTCTTCTCTATTGCCTGTGTTTAGCCTCTGTAAGTTGAAATTGTCAGATTTTAAATGTTTTGAAAACTTTAGTATTGCAAGAGATACGTGTCGGCGCCAGTTATGTCAGCCATGTTGGGCAAGGTACTTGGCCAGTCATGCTGCGCTAAGCCTTTCAGAGTTGTCTAGAGACTGGGCTTTAAGTATGCCAGTATCTGTTACTCGCAATGTCAAAGTAGATTCCAGACATCCAGCCTCCACTGCTTGCCTGATCTGGGCTTCCGATGTGATGCATCCATCTAAATGAGGTATGTTGGTTCAGATGTTTTGAAAGACTCGTTGGTTCCAGCCACTCTCTCAAGGTCTTCGAGTGGCCGACTGCGCTAATCACTAGACTCTGTATGTAATACCTTTAACTCCATTGCATGCATCTCATGGAAGTGTCCATCTCGTCCCTTTCAGTAATGATTATCTCGGTTTAATCCGTTTCACTATCTCGAAGTCTCATTCTAGGCCCTGTGATTTATCTATTTATAAGTCTCATATTAGTCAGTTTCGCTGATCTCGAAGTCTTATTCTAGCCTGTTTCACTTATATCGAAGTCTCATTCTAGTCCCATTGATTTATCTCGAAGTCTTATTCTAGTCTGTTTCACCCATCTCGAAGTTTTATTCTAGTCTGTTTCAGCCATCTCGAAGTTTTATTCTAGTCTGTTTCAGCCATCTCGAAGTCTTATTCTAGTCTGTTTCACCCATCTCGAAGTCTTATTCTAGTCTGTTTCACCCATCTCGAAGTCTCTTTCTAGTTTGTTTCACCCATCTCGAAGTCTTATTCTAGTCTGTTTCACCCATCTCGAAGTCTCTTTCTAGTCTGTTTCACCCATCTCGAAGTCACACTTAGTACCCCTTTTGAAGACTTGAAGACTCTTTCTAGCTTCTTTCATGAAGGTAGCCGGCCTTTTTGTTTCACTTTGAAGACAAACCTTTGCTAAAAGTGGTGATATAATGCACCCACCCTGGTATACCCATGTTCAGTATTAATGCTGGATGAATGAATTGTGTTCCATCAGCGACGAGGGGATGGGGCTTCTACTGTCAAGAGTGTTAATTATGTATGCGTTTCCCTCCTCCCTCTAAAGAAAATACCTGAAGGAAGTCCTTCCTTTCTTTAATGTCACGAAACAACGTTAAGAAATGGAAGTAGCGTCATATACCCTAGACGTGATATCATACTCACAGTTTATTTATATTCATGTTATAAGGCTTTCATAGAGCACTTCTTGCGTGAGTAGTATGTTCAAAGCTATTGTATCACCTGTCGGTAGGGATGCATGGAACACCGTAGTCGTTCTGAAAATGATATAATTACGTATTTTGAATTGAAGGTAGCAATTGTATTTGTTTGATATATGTTAGTGTTTAGTCCATATAACCATGTTCAAACTTGCTTGAAAGGACATATTCATCATAAAATCTGTAATAACATATGTATTTTGTTTGCAGAACACTATTTTGCTATCGCTGTAAATGTATGAGTGGTGGTGAGGTGAATTGGGTTTTACGTCGTGCTTGAGAATATTTCGCTCATAGGACGACGTGCATGCATGTGTATGTGTATGTGCGGCTGCTTGTACTAGCCCAGACTGAAGCTGGTTTTATAGTGCTAGCCCACTGAGATACCATGCCGCAGTGAAGCATGAATACCCCACTCAGACACATTATACTGACTCCGAGCCAACCAGTCCTTGTTGTACTCCCCTTTAATGCCGAGCCAGGACCCAGTCCTTGTTGTACCGGTCATTAATGCCGAGCGCCAGGAGGCGGTCTGTAAATGTACAAGTTTGAACCACGATATATTTTGAACGATATATCTTTTGAACTAATGACTGAACGGTTGAACTAATGATATATATGTTGAACTAATGAACTGTTGAACTAATGATATATCGAACTAATGATATATCTGTGGAACTCTGTGGAACTAATGGTATATCTGTGGAACTAATGATATACTACACCAGACTATGCCGCTGTGATATATCTGTGGAACTAATGATATATCTGTTACTCAGCTCATGTAATAGACTATGCCGCTGTGATATATCTGTGGAACTTATGATATATCTGTTACTCAGCTCATGTAATAGACTATGCCGCTGTGATATATCTGTGGAACTAATGATATATCTGTTACTCAGCTCATGTAATAGACTATGCCGCTGTGATATATCTGTGGAACTAATGATATATCTGTTACTCAGCTCATGTAATAAACTATGCCGCTGTGATATATCTGTGGAACTAATGATATATCTGTTACTCAGCTCATGTAATAGACTAAAGTTGCTCATGGTCATCTGTATCTTTACTACATTATTCTCACTTCTTTGTTAGGGTCTAGTTAGTTTGAGATGAGGACAGTCTCAGAAGTAATTATTCATACTATTCATCAATGGGATTTTAAGACAGAATAAAACTCTTTTTCTCCCAGACCAGATAACCCAAATAGTCGACCCTTCTTTACCTTAATAGCTCAAGGTGTTAAACTACGAAATGAACGCCAACGCATTGTTCAGTGAGTGAGTGAGTGAGTATGGTTTTACGCCGCTTTTAGCAATACTCCAGCAATGTCACGGCAGGATACACCAGAAATGGGCTTCACATATTGCGCACATGTGGGGAATCGAACCCGGGCGTTTGGCGTGACGAGTGAATACTTAAACCATCATTCTGAAGTTTGTGAACACACTTGTAAGATAATATTGTAATGGTGAATATTTTGTAATGGTATTGAATGTTTCAGGGCCAGTTCCTGTTCGGCACCAACGTTGATGTCTCCAGCTATGGAGGCTACACGTTTGAGTATCACAGCTACAGCGTGAGTGCAATCAAAACATATCCACCGGTAGACAGAACAAATTTATAAAATTACTTCCTTGACCTAAAGCTTGACATAACTCATTGAGGTCCACAGAGCGCACCTCCGTGATGACGTGCCAATCTTACAGCTGTCGCCTACTAAGTTTATAGAGCAGAGTGAGCGAGTGAGTTGGTTTGACGTTTTTATTGGTATTAACACATATGGGGAATCGAACCTGGGTCTTCGGCGTAACGAGCGATCACTTAAACCTAAGCTACTCATGCCTCGAAGGTTTTAGCTGACGTTGCAGAAGAATTATTCTTTTTAACTGGATGTAGGAGTGAGAGCACATTGGTAAAACAGCTCGCAATTTCCGTTCTCTCCCGATACGATCCGGACTGGATTGGTACGTTGGCAAGTCATGACTTCTGGACAGTGCTGGTAACGGAAGCATTGTTAATCCATGTCGTAACATGCTTAGGACGACAGGCTGTGACCATGTAGTCAAATCCAAGTATTTTTTCCACTTTGCCTGGCAAGGGTGAGAAGTTTATTTCGCTCAGAATTCATGTTTTGAGGTTTGAATGAGTGTATTAAAGCACCATGACACAAATTTCAACTCATTTTGACAAATTCGGCTAATTTAGCAACGTGATGACAAATAGCAACGTGATGACTATGTCTTTTATGAACTCGTTACACTTATCTAACCTAAAGGAGTAAGACTTGGTGAGGTTTAGTGTTTTTTCAAAACACGAAGATATTGAATGAACGATTTGTAAACAGGATCTCTGTCTTTGTTTCAGGATCTTCTTATCGTGAAGGATCTTCAGAGTTGTTACTTCATGAGAACTAACGACACTCTGTCGAAGATCATCACTGACAAGCAAGAACGAGGCAAACTGCAGGTTCATGTAGTTGTGCAGCGAATATCTACCGTCCTAAAATATGTTGTAATTTCAAAATGTCCTCTGGAAACTGAAATCGATGTGTTTTAAAGTTGGTTTCCACATCTTTTCTACTCTGGCCATGTTTGGCGCCTAAGTCGCTGGTGCGGAGTTGTTCGTGGGTTCCAAGTGAGATTAGCCCTGATTATACGTATGGTTTGGGCAGCACCAGATGCCTTGCACAATTATTCTGATTTCCTCAAAAAATGAAGCTTACCGAACGCCGTGGTCCAAGAGGACCGTCTGGAGCAGTTGTCTGCTTACTCTTACATTACGGTTTATTAATGTTTTGTAGCAGTTTATGATTAGCACAGTTATCAATACCACAATTAATGATTATTCTAGTACAACAGTTAATGATTACTAATACCATAACAACAGTTATTGATAACCATGATAGCACAGTTAATATTTATCCACGTGTCCTCATAACGGCTCAGGTAATGACTTTCCTGGTATCACAGTTAATGATTACCCTATAGCTAATATCACAGTTAACGATTACCCTAATATTACAGTTGAAGATTACCCTTATATCAAGATAATGATTATCCTGATATCACAGTCAATGATTACTCTAATGTCTCAGTTAATGATCACCTTTATATCACAGTAAACGATTACGGTAATACCCCAGTTAATGATTATCCTCAAATCACAGTTAATGAATATCATAATACCAGAAAGATCTATACTGGGAATTTCAAATAGGAAATAACAGTATACTGAACCTCCATTGCACGTGTTTTGAAGAAGTAACGTTACTTTTGTGAGCAACTGTTTAGCTAACTTTGAAATTGCTTGTTTTAATTATTTCTTACATTTCCTTTTGGATGAGCGGTGGGGTAGCCAATTGGTTAAAGCGTTCGCTCGTTACGCCGAAGACCCGGGTTCGATTCCCCGTATGGGTACAATGTGTAAAGCCTAGTCCTCGTGTCCCCCGTCTTGATATTGGTGGAATATTTCTGAAAGTAGCGTAACTCACTTCGCTTCCTTTGGGGCACAGATTTTAGAGGTTTTTAATCCACGAACGTCCGATTCATCGATTCAACTCAGGTCTTTTCAGTTGGAACTGGTGGGGTTTAATGGTAAGTTCAGAAGGTTTGAATCCACAAACGACCCGTCATCATTCATGTTTCGACGATTCAACTCACTGACGTATTTTCAGATCGAGCTGCTGGGGTTCATACTTAGTGACGAACACGTGAAGCGAACCAGTTTCATCCAGGCAGACATCACCCACCGAGACGTCACTGCCACCTCTGCCTGCGTCGGCAGGGATTTGTACGAAATGAAGTACCCAGCAGATGGCGCTGCCAACAAGCAGGGGAAGACAACTGCTGAGACTACAGCTAAGTCTCAATTGACCACAATAACGAATGTGTGAACAAAACCTTATGTACATGTCTGGATGCTAATGTTTGGTATTAATTAAAGACAGTGTCACATTGCGGTGTTCATTGTTAACGCGTTAATTAAGAAACCTGCAGCCTGGTTAAAGCGGTCACTCGTCACGACGAAGACCCGGGTTCGATTCCTCCAAGGTAGGTGGTGTCCTCCCATTTGCGAGAACTCCCAGTTGCGAGACACATTAATGAATGGTTCAGTGCTCACAGGTGGTGCTTCCCAATCCCTACGATGAAAGTGGGAACAGCCCTGTTGCTGAAGAGTACTCGCAGGAGGCATAGTTCATTAATGAGACACAGAAGACATTGTACATTGAAGAGCATTTATTGTTTTCAGTAAAGAACAAGTTAAATACTGAAATACTCAAAAAGATTATCATTATATTTACACAGAAGAAATAGTTCATTATATACTTCATTATCATTATTTATTCTCACATTTAGATGATTTGTTTTATTATGATGTTTGTGTGTCATTATAAAACACTTTTTTACATGGGTCCATATTTGGAAATTTTGACACTTTTCATATTTTCAGCAGTTTGCCGACTGCATCAAGATACTGCATGTGTTTTTTCGTTCCATCTGCAAGTTGATCTTTGAGTCTATGTAGTCGATTGTCTATTTCCCTGTACACGCGTTTCCTCGATCGAGGGGCGCCTCCCAGGTCGAGTTGGCACAGCTTGGCCTTCTCTATTTTCATGATGATTTCCATAAACCTGAAGATGTTCACGAAGTTACCTACACAAGTGTTTATTTTTTAAAGCCATTTACCTGAGTAGGTTAATTACTTTATCTTTTAAGCTACCTCCACAAGATTCAGTTAAATAGCTTATCCCTAATTAGCTGGGGTTAATCCATTCTATCAGATAGGGGAGTAAGGTGTGTTTTCTTTGCTCCTTACCTTCTCCACTGTCTCACAACTGGGAGTCTCGCAACTGGGAGTTCTCGCAAATGGGAGTAGACCAGGTAGGTACATTGTGTGATCCCCATGTCTGGTGTCCCCCGCCGTGATATTGCTTGAATACTGCTAAAGCGTCTTAAAACTAAATTCACTCACTCACTGCAGCCTGATTGATCTCACATGTGGACAACGGCATTGCCGATGAAGAAAATAAAATATTTATTTGGTAGTGCGTCTATTATCTTACACCATGTTCGCCGATTTCAAATAGCGATGTCACTTTATGTTCGTCGTATGATCGCGTGTCGCAATTCCTTTTTCATCTAATATAGTAGATGTGGCAATACCTATAAATCTGACACCTTGACAAACAAGTACTTAGAGACTTTATCGTTAAAACCTCAAATTTGATATGACACATCAATGCCAGAGAGCCACAAGTCCCCAATATTCGCCGAAATAGATTCCATTAGGCGTAAAATGCAAAACACCGGCGAAATTGAATGGATCACAGAAAATATGTGGTGCCACCAGGTTTTTGCTAAATACAGGAAAGTCCTGCCCTCCTAGAACACCGACAATGACACCAACAATGCCTAAATTTTGCTGTTTCTTTATCAACTAACGCCCCGCCATCTACCCTGTCATCATGCTCTGACTTCCTGTCGGTGGTATTTGATGACGTCACAATAGCGATGTGGACGTCAGAACATTGCCAACGTCTTTACATTTCATGGAGGTTTTGTCATTTGAAACAATGCTTACGGTGTCTTTTGTCTTGCTGAATTGGTTCATGTATAGTGAAAATAATGATTCAGGTTTATGAAGCAAACACATATTAACATTTATGTATGCGTAATTCCTGCATTTTGTTAGCTCCATTCACTTCCCCTTGAAAATTGGACTCATACACTTTGTCCTCACTCTCTCACTCGTGAAGATCCGGGCGGAAATGGTCTTCAGTAATCCATGCTTGTCGTAAGAGGCGACCAACGTGATCGGGTGGTCGGGCTCGCTGACTGGGTTGACACATGTCATCGTATCCCAATTGCGTAGATCGATGCTCATGATGTCCATCACTGCTATCAACTTTTTTATTTTAAGCAATTCTCTTTTGTATAAATAACACCTTGTAGAAATCTATATTGAAAATCTAAAAGTTTTGTGTCTTGCAATCCTTTTCTGTATACTGTAAATATATTTTTCCAATCAAAGTTTATTCAGGAAATAACAGCAAAAAAAATATAAAAAAAAATAATAATAAAAAAAACCAAAACTGTTATTTCCTTGAAATTGATATTTAAGCCACCGAACCTTTCTTTTCACCATCATGTATGGCAGAAAAGGAATGAATCCTGAAACATATTGTACATGCTCGCTCGCCTAGGTTCCAAAGTTGTCATGTCTTCGAGTTGCATTAGTTTCAAACTCGCATGTTTCCAAATGGCTTCCGTTTCTAAGTCGACCGATGCTAGCACCTGGAGGTTGCTTGCGATGTCTTGTGAGACAGCAGACTCCTCCCTGACATATATTCCGGTTCGTGTCAGTTGCCCTTTCCTCCCGTCTTGTCTTCACCAACGTGACCTTCGTCAGTTTGACTCCGTGTAATAGCAACTGATCTTGTGGCTGGATCAAGGTACGTACATGAATCAGTCACCTGATTCAAGTCATGACACAGTGTGTAGTCCATTATGCTTCTTGTCTTTTTGTCTGCTGTCATTCATGTAATCATTTTACATTATAACAGCTTTAAATTTTTATTTTTAAAATCTCATGCTACGCGTTCGGTTTTAAATCAAATTTTGAGCTATTATAATTTCGTTATGTACCTCTGATTTTCCGACACAGCTTATACCTCAACGAACCTAACAAAAATACTGTCAATACTTCAACTGAAAAGTTGTTTTCCATAAATTGTGTTTCTAAGAAATACCAATCAAACAATTCATCTTGTAGCTGCTCTTGTTTGCGTTACAGACCCATATTGCCATATGTATCAAACCCGTTAAGATCCGGGTTAGAATTGATCTTCAGTAACCCATGCTTGCCGTAAGCGGCGACTAACGGGATCGGGTGGTCAGGCTCGCTGACTTGGTTGACACTATGTCATCGCATCCCAGCTGCGTAGATCGATGCTGATGCTGTTGATCACTGGATTGTCTGGCCCAGACTTGATTATTTACAAACCGCCGCCATATAGCTGGAATATTGCTGAGTGCAGCGTAAAACTAAACTCACTCACTCACTGTAATATGTATCAAAGAAAAGGGTTACCCAGATAATGACTAACTCTGAGAAATACACCAGAGCTGTGACTGTATTTCCACCTTACAACTAGGTGTAGCAGTGTTGTTGACAAAAATTCTTCTGGAATCTTGACATATGTCGTTTCCCACGTCGACAACTATTTCTGTTTATCAGCGTTCAAAGAGTTCACAGTTTCAGGTCGTACTTCATTTCAGCCTCAATACAAACAACCACAATCTCCATGTTGCTGCCGATTCTTCTCTCCAGTGTTTCTCTGGCACTTGTAAGTTTAATTATTTTTTAAACTTATCGTTATTATGATTATATTGTTTGTGAGTGACTTGAACCTTTATGTCATAACGGCTTTTTCCCAGCCATATAGTTACGAGAACAAGTCCATACATATACACATTCGAAAACAAATTTCTATATTTTAACATTACAATATTATTTACAATTAAACTACGAGGTATAATAAATTATAATTAAAATCAAAAGCTCATATTTGAAACCAAGCAATTTGTTACATACATATATACAGTTGAGATACAAACATACGCTAACTCATGCGAGTGAAACATATCTTTCGGGTTTTCACCTTGACAATGTGAATCCCTTTCGACAGCAAAGTACACACAGTCAAGCAAAATAGATCATGTTGAAAGAGTGGGTTACGCGCCTTTACGGATTACACAACCAGTATTCGCTGTGATAAATTTGAGGATTGACACAGTCTGTGCATTTTTAAAAAAAGAGGCATTACTTAATCCAAAGACTGTTTGTGAAGTGTATGTAATCGATGTCATGTTAAAGGTCAAGTAAGACAATAGTGTCGAAGGCGACTCCCCGCCGTGATAATGCTAATGATGCGTAATCATCACTCACTCACTCACCCACCCAAATCTCACTCTCACTCACTCACTCACCAACCAACTCACTCACTCACCCACTCACCACTGGAGAACAATAGAGTCGACTTGATATTGAATCCAACGGTTAGCGGTTTATGAGTTTGTGAGATGTGTTTGGTGGCCTGTATTATCATACTTGATGTGCAACGACAACCTGAAGTATGCAAGTCTTCGACTCTTACTGCTTTGGCTAAACGAGTGCTGTAGTGCCATTTTTATTAAACGAGTTAATGATTTGGTATAAAACGACCGAAAGTGAGTTTAATGCTAAATCTTTCACGAGTTTGGTAAAGATGGTATTTCACGGTGTCGAGTTTAGTATTCTGTTTATAACTCTCCAACATAATTGTACCAACTGCTTACAGTGTGATGACTCTCAGCTTTCAAGCAAGGTCTACTGCCATTGCGACAGAGGTATTAGCATTGTGACGTCATAACTGTAAACCATTATGACGCCATACGTCTAGCGGTATTACGCTAGTGTAATATTGTCGTAAAAAGTTTAGGTTGCTGGTGACCGCGGCCAAAGATCATTAGGTTGCTGGTGACTACGGCCAAATATCATTAGGTTGTTGCCAAAGATCATTAGGGTTGCTGGTGACTACGGCCAAATATCATTATGGTAGGTTGCTGGTGACTACGGCCAAATATCATTAGGTTGCTGGTGACTACGCTGGTGACCGCGGCCAAATATCATTAGGTTGCTGGTGACTACGGCCAAATATCATTAGGTTGCTGGTGACTACGGCCAAAGATCATTAGGTTGCTGGTGACTACGGCCAAATATCATTAGGTTGCTGGTGACTACGGCCAAAGATCATTAGGTTGCTGGTGACTCCAGCCGCCTATGGAAAGGGCTTTTGGGGGTGGCTAAGGCCTCGTGGGATGAGGACAGTTTCCATGCTGTATAATAAAACTCAGGGTCTCCATCTTTCTTTGTGATGACAACAATTATCCGTGTCTCTCCATTACAGTAGCGGACTTCATCTGTCAGTGAGTGGGTAGGTTGTGTCAGTTTGATGTGGGAAGGACTATCGTTGGCTTTTATCAATTGGGCGACCCAACGACCACGGGTTTGGCGGTGACACACCCAGAAACATGATAAAGCAGATCTGTGATTTGAACCCACGATCGCGGGGTTCTGATGTGACTGAAGGACACAAAACTTTAGAGCGAATTGTGGGGCCTTGGAAGACCAGGCCACCCAATAGTTCTTGGGAAGGAGCCCATCTCAAGCTAAAATGTAACTGCATAATGTCATGATACTATCCTACACCTGACCCACTTTCCAAAATCCCCAAACAAAACCAACAGCATGTATATTTAACATCTTTGAGAGGCATTTTAAAAGTTGTAAAGATGGAGGAAAAGCAAGTTCTATGGATAGTCAATTTCTTTATTGCAATGAAAGCGACGTTTCGTCGTTAGGATCTACACCGAATCGTCGCTTTCATTGCAATAAAAGCAGTTGACTTTCCCTAGAACTTGGTGTTCCTTTATTTATGAGTATTTACAGATATGCATGTATTGAACGCTGTTCAATGTTATATTCGATTTCGATGTTTCGCGTTGATAGTAATTTCCTTTACCTTCCAAAATACATCGTGTATGGACATGATTTGTTGCTGTTGTTTATATGTAATGATGTACGAACACAGGGAATACAGCACACACACATATAACTCACATATTTCTTACTTTGTCTGGCAGGGTCAGTTCCTGTTTACTTCCAATGCTGAAATTTCCCGTCGGAATGGGTACCAGTTCGAGTACCACCCGGACACGGTGAGTAATGTGTGACAAACACTGTATGTTTTGGGGGTGTTCTAGCAACGACACGCTCTAGTGAGGATAGCTTCAAGCAATGCTATACATTGATTGTGTTCGGGACGATTTAAACGTCGATTTCAGAAACCCACGCTTGTAAAAGGCGACTAACAGGATCGGGTGTTCAGTTTCGCTGACTTGGTTGACACATGTCATCGTATCCCAGTTGCGTAGATCGATACTCATGCTGTTGATCATTGGAATCTCTGGTCCAAATTGGGAAAGAGCGAGAAGGAGAGGTATTATGTATTGTGTACTGTGTGTATTGTGGTAAAACATCATAAATAATGCAAGGATTTGCTTTCGTGCTAATGTTTTGTTTTGTCTGTCGATACCATTGATAATTTAACGAAGCGTCGACACCAACTATTTCAAGTCTTATCGGTGTATTGGGATGGCAATACTGACTCATCAACAGTTGCAATATACCACTATACAAACAGCTTTATGTGAACTATCGTGTAGAGGATATAAGCATTTTATTATCTTCTCTTATAGCTCAGCCTTACGTTTTGTGTAACGTTTTAAAAGAGCCAGTATTTGGGAATTTGGTTTTATTAGACGCTTGTACAGCCTACTCTTAATACCGTCACAGTACTGCTGTAGTATATTGTCATATCGATCTTGCAATAGTGCGGCTATAGCGATGTAGCTATTGTCATACGTCCAACAGGTAATCTTCTACATTGCCTGGTTTTGCATTTTGCTTTATTGATTCGGCAAGACACGGGTGTGGCAATTATAGATCTGACTTAAGCAACCATTCACATTTCTTTCAGAAACTCTTGACGGTAAAGAATATCTTCAGCTGTTACTTTGTGGGAACTGACGAAAGCCTCAGGACGAGGATCAGAGATAAAAATCTCAGAACAAAACTACAGGTAAACTTGACTGTTTAAAGCAGGCTTTTGTGCAGTGTCATGGCCCTTGGAAGTGACAGAATCCGATGAGTCTGAAATTCGTCATGATTATATTTATTTGTTGTTGGTTTGTCGGTACGATACAAGGGAACAAGACGTTTTGTCCCACGGGATATATCCAGCAATATCACGGTAGTATCGCTGCGGGGGACACTATGAATGGGCTTTTCACATAATAAGCATGTGTGTAGTCGATCTCATTCCTTAGGTGTGACGAGCGTACGCGTAAACCACTCTGCTACCCTTCATGATTTTAGGAACGAGGAAAACATTTACAAATCGTTGTATAAGATCGTACATGATTTCATTTGAATGAGAATTGGACGTCTCGTTGAGAACTGGATTCAACGTTTACCGAGATGCTGGTCCAGAAGTGATTATCTGCACACTACCGCATGTAGCTGGAATATTACGGTGTGCGGCGTTAAACAACAAATCTAACATCGTCCAGTTACATGGTTCTACTTTTCAGGATGAATTAATTGGATTCATTCAAGACAACCGACACATAATAAAGACAAGCCTTGTGCAAGCTGGCATAGCTCACAACGATCCCGCAGCGACGTCAAGCTGTGTTGGGGACAACCTGTTTGAACTGGAATATCCGTCAAAGAGCACCACCGCCACTCAGGGGCAGACAACTATCGGAAGAACTAAACAGGGGCATACAACTCGTCCGACCACGCAGGGATCAACGGCATGACCTCAACGGAAGATTGTTATGTTGTAACTGACCTTGCCCTCGATGACGTTGTTTTTGTAGAAAATGTTGAATGGTTCATTAAATGTCCATGAACAACCGCCCTAATCTGGATGTCTTATGTGGTTTATTGTTTTTTACTAAGTACATTTTAAAGAAATACTTTAGTAGTTGAGATTTACTTTCAACCTGACGTCATCAAAACGTCATTGCACTTGACGTCAATTCAGATGTTTATGAGCTCTTGAAATATGATAACACGTCTCTTTCGCGTTTATTGTGCTCTCTACCATTATTTCAAAATCTGAAAAAACAATTCCATTGTCTTCTGAGAGATATGACTTGGTATGAACTGTGGTGTATCGACTCGTCAACCTGACATGTTGACTCCAACATGCAATATGTATTGCTGTATCCTGGGTAACCACCCCCCACCCCCCCACCCCATGTCAGTCAACACAATGTTCAAACTTGCTACATGGGATGCAAGCGTGACGTTTCGTAAGTGTTGTCTACCTTGCATCTTTGACAATACGTACACCATATGTGCGACTTTTAAGTCACTGGTTACACACTTTGTAAAATATTTACGTTGTTTGTTTAAAGAATAACCCCAAAGTGGCAAGTATGTACTGTTTTTGTGTATAGTATATATATTTAGCACAGCATGTTAACAGTGCTGTGATTTATCATGGCGAGGCAAGGGACGATCTAGTTCTCTAAGATTCACTGTGCTAAGTGACGTCCCTTTGATACGCCAGTACCCTTGTTTTCTTGGGTTGTCACCCGTGAAGATCCGGGTCAGAATATTGATCTTCAGTAACCCATGCTTGTCGTAAGAGGCGACTAACGGGATCGGGTGGTCAGGCTCGCTGACTTGGTTGACACATGTCATCGGTTTCCAATTGCGCAGATCGATGCTCATGATGTTGATCACTGGATTGTCTGGTCCAGACTCGATTATTTACAGACCGCCGCCATATAGCTGGAATATTGCTGAATGCGGAGTAAAACAAAACTCACTCACTCTTGTCTTGTCATGCGTGCAGGTGTACTGTGGAATAACTGTCTGAGACCTCCCGGATTCTATGTCACTTCGTCCCTTCCTCACTCATTGAGTGAGGCGGCTTAGTATAGCTTGTTCAAAGCGCCTGAATATAGCTTGTTCAAAGCGCCTAAATATAGCTTGTTCAAAGCGCCTCAATATAGCTTGTTCAAATCGCCTCAATATAGCTTTTTTAATGTGATGTTAAACTCTACTCACTGTTACAATCAGTCCTCAAATCAGTGGAATATTGTCAAATGTCTTTATTGAGAAAATAATACAAGAAAGCAGTATGTGTTGAAGATATCGGGTATTCTTAAGTCAAGATAATAATATCAACATTAATTTCTACATCATGTAGTAATGCTCGCACTCAGGTCAGAAGATAGTGATAGTTATAACAATATGCAAATAATGTCACGCCTGGAGACACAATAAATTGGCATTTCATCCATGCGGGGGATCGAATCCTTGACTTCGGAGGGATGATGGATAGCTCACCCCACCCTCTACCATTCGCTCCTCAGCCCCGTCCTCTTGAATATAACCCCTCCCCTTGTACACGAGTGACAAGGACTACGCGTGGATCAAATGGTGGCCTTCGCAAAAGAATAATTTCATGAAGGATAATTGGTCCTTTTGGCCCACTGCGAATATGCGAAGTTTTATGTTGCGGAAGAAGTACTTATGACATGAGTGAGTGTAGTTTTACGCCGCTTTTAGCAATATTCCAGCAACATCACGGCAGGGGACACCAGAAATGGGCTCCACACATTGTACCCACGTGGGGAATCGAACTCGGGTCTTCGGCGTGACGAGCGAACGCTTTAACCACAAGCCCCTCTTTGATTTTGAAACTTACTACGCATGTTCAAATGGTTGACAATAAGTCTTTTTTGACATTTTGCATTTCTTCTAGTTTTTATATGTACTTAAGAACTGAAAACAGATTTTTCAAATTCGAGAGACATCCGTTTGTATCCCTCAACAAGTCGGTGATCCAACAGGAATTTCCTCTTTAAAGCTTCTACGTATATAAAATTCGGCTAGTGTCAAATCACTTTTGATATATTATACACCCCCCTCTCACCACAAACATCATCATCCCGAAACCATTATTCCTACTTACACGAGACAAATTGAATGTGTGAGTTTGACAAAGTCACAATTTACATCGTCTATACCTGAGATCCGGAGCATATATACAGCCCCCATTATAAAACCAAATACAACCATGTTGCCATTGCATCAGATGGACACGGTTAAATCTGAACAGACCCAGTATGTTTTTGAATGTGTGTGACTTTTGAAGCATTAATCCATCTGTGATTTTGCGCTCTTTCCTTTCTGCTCCACGTAGATCTTGAGGAACGCTATGGCCGCGTTTCGCCCTTGCTGCAAATACAGATACACATGTATAATTCGAGGTTTCAGACCTGTTTTGATCACGTTTGATGTGGGTTAGAGTGAATGAGCGCAGTAAAGGATACCAGTACTACACACGGGTATTCGACATGACAACAGCTAACTGATGATGTGAAAAACGGTACATTTTAAATTTATTTGGAAACCATCTCTAGTTTCTTGATTATGTATTTTTTCGAGAATTTATTTACATGCAGTAAAGGAATTATTGATGTTATAACGTGTTTCTGATCTTTACCGTGATGAGAAATTCAATGTCTTCATCCTCCAAGTCGTCCATAGTTGTGATGTAGTCGCAATCAATGCCGATAGAACGATCAAGGTCACGTCTCTGTTAAAAAAGGATATATATGGAATTATGAAGAAACTTTTTTTGTAAAACACTTTCACGGAATCTTAAATTTAAACTATTTTCACAATTACCATATGCTTGAAAATACCCTACTTACCTTGACAACCACCTCTTTGTGCCTTGCCGTGATGGAGTCTATTATGGCAATCATATACGTCGTCAGACTGTCTATCACATGCGATGGGCGACTGTGGGCGCCGTGGTGGATCGGGACACCTCTCTTGGCAAAATATGACACCAGAGCGTGTACAGACACCTATAGCAGTTGAAAAGAGATGCACAATGGTTGGTTTCATTATTCTTGATTATCAAGGGTGAAATATATCACTAATATTATATACCATAGACCAATTCCGCAATATGATGTCATTGATGAGGGTAATAAATATAACTGCTTCAGACTGTCGGGACAGGTGTTTCACCTCTGCAAATGACACGAGGATGAAAGATTACTGTAATGAAGAAAGACCATGAAAGGTCATCATTCATCCTATGGCATGACAGGGGCTTGGGGTAGCCTAGTGGTTGAGGCGTTCGCTCATCACGCTGAAGACCCGGGTTTGATTCCCCACATGGGCACAATGGGTGAAGTCCATTTCTGGTGTCCCCTGCCGTGATATTGCTGGAATATTGCTAAAAGCGGCGTAAAACTAAACTCACTCACTCGAGCAAGACAACTGAGGAATATATTTTGCTGTAGGTTCATGCAATCACAGAAAAATACTTGTGTTGGAACATACGAAGGAAGCCGTATTTCTTCGGTGAACTTTAATATTATGCACAGAAGTAACGTCGCTTACATGTTATTAATCGAAGCCAACATGCATATGCGAGTTATTTGAAAATCAATATCATAGCTCAGAGATTACTCCACAAGTGAAAAAGAAGAACCTACTCTCAATAACTTTAATATAAATTCCGCATACAAAAATGAGAATGAAACTGCACAATTTTAATTTCAAGTTTCTTGGTGTCTTGAAATCAGTGCACGGGTGATGCAGAAAACACCAGGTTATTTCCAAGATTAAATGTTAAACAAATCGTTATTACAACTCTACAAACTCTTGAAATTGGAAAAATATGAAAAAGCTAAAACTCACAAAATCGTCGTCATATCTATCTATCTCATCGAAGACTTTATCCGGTTTCGTGTTGCCGAAAAGAAGTTTGTATTCCTCTGGGCTTATGTTGCTGCTCTGAAAATGCATGTAAAACAGGATTTATATTTTTATAATCACTACACCCACCCCATTGAAGTCCCCAAATCCCATAACACATGATGTTATACTTTTCATATTTGTAATATTCTATTATGAATAATATTAATGTTACTTTAAAGAATTTATGCTTGTCTAAATACAAGTACATGAAGAAGATGTTGTTGACATTCAGGTCAAACATTCTGGAACATATGTTATATTTGAGATCACACTATCTTAGTAAAGTACAGATTCTAGTACTTTTGTTTGGTTGAGTCCCATCCGGAATTCGAACCCACGCCCTCAGGCACCTAATCGCCAGCACACAAAGTCAGCTGTCTAACCCGCTAAGCATGATGGAGTTAAGAAGTGACAGAAGCTCTACCCCCTTCAGTAAATACCTTGAGCGCGTCAGTGAGCTCTGTCTTCGTGATGTGCATGCTCTGGTCAAGGTTCCGTTCACGCAGACACGCCATGAGTTTGTGGGCGATCTCCTTCACCGTATCCTGCTTCCTATTATCCGCGTCAATCTTTGTCATGTGAGGAAGACGTTTCCTGGAAGGGAAACAAAGGACAGATACTTAGAATACTCACATTGCCGTTTCCAGGTCGCGATAAAATACCAATCGGACGCGAATACGTCGCGAATTGTGGACTAATCACGTTCCATCTTTTCCCTTTTTGTTGCCGGTATGTAAAACGGTCTAAGAACACACTCCAAAGGACATATACTATGAGTACTCACACTGCTGTTTCTCGATGGTGTTACCACCAGGTCGCGATACCAACCAGCTACTGAATGGGACGCGAGTACTTCGCGAATGGCGGACTATTCGCGTTCTATCATTTCCCTTAAAGTTTTTGTTTCAGGTTTGTAAAGCGGTCTAAGAACACACTCAAAAGACGACTAGGGGTACCGAACTCAGTTCTTCTGCGTCATTCCATATGCGTTTTGGAATACAATAATCAGATTCGTCCTGCGATTCGTGGTTACCTATGCCAGTGGTATTGCAAAAGATACATACTACATTACTTAGGATTTCATTTGAGGTGGCACGCATCGTCATGAATGAAAAACTGTTCAGTCACTCACTCACTTACTCGTCCACCCACAAATTCACTGTCGAGTTCTGTGCATTCGGATGCACAGACGGTGCCAGGCACGATCTTGGCAGGCATTTCACGAAGCAAACGTAATACCCGTTTTCGTTTGAATCTCACTCACTCACACGTGCACCTACCTCATCAATGACGTGTTTGGTCTGTCTGGGGGATAATCTTTCATACGTTCTCCAAATTCACGTTTGAAGACCTCCCTTTCGTCGGTTGAGAACTGAAACAAGAAATTTAAACTATAAGTCCATTGATTTGCCTTGATTTTATAGATTAGCGAAAGAGAACGTGAAAACGTGTTTGTCTTTATGTACTGAGCAGCTACCTACCACCATGGCTCCTAGTGTCTTCTCACTGAAGCCATCGAACCAGCTGCTCTGTTCCTCCTCGATGTTGGCATGGTGTAAGAACGAATGCTTGGGGTCCATGGAAAGATACCATCCTGGAATGATACGTTTATGCCATATTCAGGGAAGTTACATATTGGGCTTAACTTAAAATTCTTTCATGTCGAGAGATACTTTAATTAAAAATTCAAGTGTATAATACTCATAGTACTAATTCGTTTTCAAAGGTATCAGTATTGTTAGTGGTGTCAGATGCTTTTATGATAATTACTTAGTGATGATACTTGGTGATAGGCGACTAGCGGGATCGGGTGGTCAGGCTCGCTGGCTTGGTTCACACATGTCATCGGTTCCCAATTGCACAGATCGATGCTTTGCTGTTGATCACTGGATTGTCTGGTCCAGACTCGATTATTTACAGACAGCCGCCATATAGCTGGAATATTGCTGAGTGCGGCGTAAAACTAAACTCACTCACTACTTAGTGATAGCAATACGATGATTATCTACAACAATATCTTTAAAGAATAACAATGTTATTCATCGACAACTTCTTTATCGCAATAGATGCAAAATTGTTCCTCTTCATCATTCCAGCTTCTAAATGCCATTTATCGAAGAAACAATATTTAACTATTTACCATCAAAAGTGTTGATGGGGTAGTTATTCAGGACTCCGCCATCAACGAAGTATTCTCCTCTTCCATTCACAAACGAATACTTGGGCTTCATCACCACTGCAACCAGACATCATAAGTTATTTATCTTACCTCTCACATATATGTCGCTGTATGATTGGCTGAGCCAATCAATGTGACCCGCTTACAAGCGAGTAACATTTTCTACCCGCTAAATGCCGAACTGTGGGAATTGGTTTGGTACTTCGTGTTAGTTGTGTTTGAGCTGTTGCCTAACTTCGGTACTCCTTATTATGACCCAATACCCGTGCTTCAAACAGTTCAAAATTAACATTGAGGTGTTCGGTAAGATAAATACGTTGTTCACTGGTCCCTCGGGTCTTATGGGTTGATGTACCCTCTATATTTGTTTATGTTCCCCTCGCTCTTCGGGCTCAGGGAACATAACCAAACATAGAGGGTACATCAACCAATGTCCTCCTCGTGACCAGTGAACAAATTATAATTAAAACTGTTTATATTGATACCTACATTGAAGAAAGTATAGTAATATTTGAATTATAGCCTACTTCTGACAAATTAACATTTATTTACTTTCTTTATGTTCAATATGAAGTTAAATTTTTAACGTGTCACAGCTATCGAATAGTTTACTGGATATTACAATAAATAATTCCTTAAAAACATAATTGCATAATTTGTAAAATTTTATAACTGCATTTTTTGCATTTTTCAGTCTGACCGGGTGACCGGGTCGTAAAGTTGTATTGACGTTGGACGTATGGACGTTTTTATCGCATACAGGAGAATTCAGGTGTAAGCTTCGTGTTGAATTTATTCGACATGTTTCATTACTAAAAATTGTGATATTCCTCCCATGTAATAAGCATGTATTTATGAATAACAGGTGTTCGTGGAAAGTGATTGATATGGTTTATTAATGATAGCTTGTTTAAGATATATTTCTAGATGTATATCTAAATGAAAATTGTAATGAAACGACCACTCACTCATCGACGTGTGCACCCATTCATCAACCAAATCACTCAATAACTCACTCAAGCACTACTCATTCACTTCTCAGTAGTAATTGAAAATCCGGGTTAGAATTGGTCTTCATCAGCCCAATAATTGCTTTTGGTAAGAGGAGATTAACGGGATCGGGTGGTCATCCTCGCTGACTTGGTTGACATGTCATCGTATCCCAAATGCTGTTGATCACTGGAATGCCGCCATATAGCTGGAATATTGCTGAGTGCGGCGTTATACAACAAATAAACAAACAAACAAACAAACTTCTCAGTAGGCGAGAGATCTAGACGAGCCAGCCCCTCACCTGGAATGCTAATGGACATAGCGAGTGCCTCCATGATGGGGAAGTCCGGTGTTGTCTTGGGATGGAAGTACTCCACGCTGGAGGTTGACATGTTGGAAGCCACAATACACAGCTCCTTCCCGTGGTCGTGGTACAGCTGCAAGAGAGAAGGATCCATGGTTTTCTGGAGTACATACATAGTGGGCGAAGAAGGTCTTAGTGGGATATTAATGTTGAAATGTGCGTGAATGAGTATAGTTTGACGCCGCATTTAACAATATTCCAGCAAAATCAAGGCGGGGAAAAAGATGGCACTTTGTACCCATGTGCGAGTGAGTAAAATTAGTTTTACGCCACTTTCAGACATATTCCAGCAATATCAAGGCGGGGGACTCCAGAAATTGTCTTCACATATTGTACCCATGTGGGGAATCGAACCCGGGCCTTCCGCTTGACGAGCGAACGCTTCAACCACTTGGTTACCTCACCGTCCCGTGCACAGAGGTAGAACCCTAACCTTCTTGTAAAGAACGGGAATCACCGAAAAAGTACAGAATGTAACAACAGAACGTAAAAAGAATTTTTTACCACCAGTAAAGTACGGTTATAACGAACTCAAAGGGATATTCATTTCAAAATAGTTTGTTATAACTGTCAGCTCGTCATAAACGTGTTCGTTACAAATGAAATTTACTGTAATAATCCATTTGAAATTGAATATAAATATATCTTGTATTACAGACATTTTGAGAAGGTCACAAATAATAATGTTGATGGAACGCAGGTAAGAAAAGTGAAATTGGATTACTGCAAGGTAATTCTTCTGAAATATAATCCACTAAAAAGAATCCAGAAAAATTGCCACTACATGTATCACAAAAATTAGACAAGAATGTTTGTTTTTCTGATGACATATTTGCCTTGTCACACAGGTCTATTCCCATCTTCATAAAACTGATCATGCTAATTCCTTAATAATATTTGAATGTTGAACTAAATGTTGAACTATTGAATTGAATGACACAACTGTGTCAAAAGAACACCTCTTGAAATGATCCAGTTGAAACTAATTTATCCGTTTGAATCAATATTGTCTAAGAGTATAATAATTCAAATTTGCATTATTTCCAATATATTCATAATAAACTGCATGGGTGCTAATCGAGTGGAAATATTGAACTGTGTTTTGTGTCAGAAGACCCCGATGGAAGCCATAGATGTTTAGAAGAATCTGAGCCGTGACGTCTCGGTTGATCTTCACTAACCAATGCTCGCTGACCTGGTTGATGCAAAGCAATCACTGGATTGTCTGGTCCAGATTTGATTACTTATAGACCACCTCATACAGCATCAAAGTAACAAAGCTATGTAAGATGATACTTATGAGTTGAGGATGTCAGTCCAAATTGATAGACTAATGCCAAGGGGCACAACTCTGCATGTACTAATCCATTCCCTATCATTGTCCCACAGAATTGATTGTAATAAAAAATGAAGATCAGAAATATTGCCAATGCTCCAAAATATGTCACGCTGCATCATCTATATGTGGAACACCAGTCTCCATTCACCTGACCTGGGGCGGTAGGGTAGCCCTAGTGGTTAAAGCGTTCTCTCGTCACGCCGAAGACCCGGGTTCGATTCCCCACATGGGTACAATATGTGAAGACAATTTCTGGAGTCCCCGCCGTGATATTGCTGGAATATGTCTGAAAGTGGCGTAAAACTAAACTCACTCACTCGCCTGAACTTATCGAGGCCTAACTTGAAACGGATACAGCTTTATTTTACAACATGTACCTTGATCTTGTAATGTGGGATGACATTTTCGATTCCCATGTCATCACGGGATTGAAATACAACCGTAGATAAGCCACGGTCAACATACAGTGAGTGTACTACGCGATAAGAGACTTGGACCTTGAACTATAATAAGATTGGGACATAAATACCGTTTAATCATTATGACTCCTTGTCAGTGTTTGATCATGACTTGTGACACGTTTATCCTCGTGCTCCGGTACATTAGGTTCCGTGTTGTGGTTTATATCGCGTCATATAAGAGACGTTGTAGGTTCAATGCCCGGCCCGTCAAACCGAAACACGTTAAAGGTGGTATTTGTTGTTGCCCCGCCTGACGTTAGGTGTTATTTAGGGTGATGATAATTTTGAGCGGGGTCACCCATTTTGTTCTGGGGAGGTGTGTGTGTGTGTGTGTGTGTGTGTGTGTGTGTGTGTGTGTGTGTGTGTGTGTGTACACATGCACCTGTGGGTGTGTGTGAGTGATTTGAGAGAGAGTAGAGAGAGAGAACTTATATTGCATGTAGTCTTCAGGACAGCTGGACTCATGTTGGCAGTGACTTTACAAATCTAGTTCATCATATATCTGTGAGGACATTACGATTATGGGGGCGGTGGGGTAGCCTAGTGGTTAAAGCGTTGGCTCGTCACGCCGAAGACCCGGGTTTGAATCCCCACCACATGGGTACAATGTGTGAAGCCCGTTTCTGGTGTCCCCCGCCGTGATGTTGCTGGAATATTGCTAAAAGCGGCGTAAAACCATACTCAGTCAGTCAGTCAGTCATTGCGATTATGTTTATTCTCCTCAGTATAATATTTTCTGATGATATAATTTTTACTCGGATTATTGGGAGTTATGATCGAACGGGCGGTGATGAAGTCTAAAGCTTTCTCTTGACACGCTGAAGTCACGGGTTCGATTCCCCACATGGGTACACTCTGTGGAGCCTATTTCTTGTGTCCCCCGTCGTGATATTGATCGAATTTTGCTAAAAGCGGCGTACAACCGTACTCATTCACGCACGGTTTTAACAATAAAATCCCTACCCGTGAAGGTCCGGGTTAGAATGAACCTTCAGTAACCCATGCTTGTCGTAAGAGGCCACTAACGGGATCGGGTGGTCAGGCTCGCTGACTTGGTTGACACATGTCATCGGTTCCCAACTGCGCAGATCGATGCTCATGCTGTTGATCAAAATATTGTCTGGTCCAGACTCGATTATTTACTGACCGCCACCATATAGCTGGAATATTGCTGAGTGCGGCGTAAAACTAAACTCACTCACTCACTCACACTCAATAAAATCCCACGTATGCTGTTAACGTGAAACAGTAAACTTGGGCACTAATGAACTCAGTTTGATCCCATCATACTTATCCTTAAACGTGTACCTTGCAATAAAATGACAGACAAAGATACCAGTTGTACGTGTGGATGAGTGTAATGAATCCTTCGTATGCAGCGCATACTCACAACGCACACACATCACGTTGAACGTGACCCAGATGTCGCAGAATAAACGCTGATTCAGCGAATCTAAAATGAACTGCTGTACAAAATGTCGGGTTTAGTTTTAGGTCACAATGACCGTTTTATTACTGTGTGAATATTCCAACATGCGACCATTGGGTTTGGTCGCGTATACTGATTAAAGTGAGTGAGTGAGTTAGAATTTAACGTCACCTCGGCAATATTTCAGCCATATAGTGACGATATAGTGATTAAAGTATCACTTTCCGTGAATATTTTATAACCAGTCTAGAGGAAGGAACTTAGCCATGATAGGTTTGTAAGATAATGGCATATGCATGCAAAATAAATGTTTTAAAAAGATCAGACTTGTATCAGATCTGTACATACAATACACTGACACATTTTTTAAATATCATTCACAATGTCTGAGGCAGACGAATTTTTAATAGAAACATTCAAGCATATTTTTCGATCATACCATAATGTTGACTGTCATTGTCAATATCTAATATACTAAATCACTTTCATACAACAAATGTCGCTTGGAGAATATTTTACCTGCTGTCACTGTTCGACTAACCAATCTTGACATGTTATATTTATGCGTCTTGATTACGGAGCGGTGGGGTAGCCCAGTGGTTAAAGCGTTCGCTCGTCAGGCAGAGGACCCGAGTTCGATTCCTCACATGGGTACAATGTGTGAAACCCAGTTTCTGGTGTCCCCCGCCGTGATATTGCTGGTATATTGCTTGCTGTTTTTCCAAAAACGTTGTTATGATGTGATGAAATGATGTTCTGAAGCTCACCTTTCCAAAAGTCAGCAGGCTGTCGCCGTGTTTTTCGCGGATCTGTTCTGACATGGCGTTGTAGAATTTTTTGGCAGGATGCCATCCGTAGCTCCAAGCCAGATTCGGCAGGAAGGCAAGGTAGCCACACGTAGCGTCTGAATAAAACATAAAACAGATTGCACGTTAGTAAAAATTACTACATATGTATAAGCATTAGTACTTATAAGTTTCATATTATTTTACCTGGGTAACATTTCAAATAACACCTTCTGTCAGCATGCTGATGACAAGAATAACCCCCCTTGAATATTGACCGCCTCCGTGGTGTAGTGGTTAGAGCGTCCGCCCGGAGAGCGGAAGGTCGCGGGGTCGATCCCCGACCGCGTCATACCAAAAGACGTTAAAATATGGTACTTGTTGGTCCCTACCTGGCGCTCGGCATTAATGGGTACAACAAGGACTGGTCGGCTCGGAGTCAATATAATGTGTCTGAGTGGGGTGTTAATACTTCACTGCGGCATGGTATCTCAGTGGGCTAGCACTATAAAACCAGCTTCAGTCTGGGCTAGTACAAGCAGCCGCACATACACATACACACGCATGCACGTCGTCATATGAGCGAAATATTCTCAAGCACGACGTTAAACCCAATTTCACCTCACCTCACCTTGAATATTCTTTGCATAGTGATTGAAGCGTTCGTTGGTCCCTTATCCAGATTCGATTCCAAACCTTGCAGCTATGTGTGAAACCAATTGTTGGTTTCCCAATGATCTTGATGTAATATTGCTTAAAGCGGCGTAAAACATACTCATTGGGTCACTTACATAACTAAGCCATTAGCGCCTCAATGCCGATCAGATTTAAGCAAACCATATACTTGCCAAGGAAAGCTGAGGCATCTAACGTCCGAGAAAACTCCTTGACTTCCCGCGGGGTGAAGCCCAGAGCCATCAGGGTGGCGAACACAGCCCCCATGCTGACCCCCGCGAAGCGATGAAGCTTCTCATAGATCCCGACTTCGTGGAGGACCTGTAACCAATGCAAATATACTGTAACCAGTGTAAATATACTGTAACCAGTGTAAATATACAGTAACCAATGTAAATATACTGTACCAGTGTAAAAAACCAGTGTAAAAATATTGTAACCACTGTTAATATACTGTAACTTGTGTAAATATACTGTAATCAATGTGTAAATATACTGTAACCACTGTAATATACTATTATACTGTAGCCACTGTAAATATACTGTAACTAGTGTAAATATACTGTAACCAGTGTAAATATACTGTAACCAGTGTAAATATACTGTAACCAATGTAAATATACTGTAACTAGTGTAAATATACTGTAACCAGTGTAATTATACTGTAACCAGTGTAAATATACTGTAACCAGTGTAAATATAATAACCAGTGTAAATATACTGTAACCAGTGTAAATATACTGTAACCAGTGTAAATATACTGTAACCAGTGTAAATATACAGTGTAAATAACTGTAACAGTGTAAATATACTTGTAACCAGTGTAAATATACTGTGTAAACCAGTGTAAAATATACTGTAATACGTGTAAGTGTGTAAATATACTGTAACCAGTGTAAATATACTGTAACCAGTGTAAATATATAACAGTGTAAATACTGTAACCAGTGTAAATATACCAGTGTAAATATACTGTAACTAGTGTAAATATACTGTAACCAGTGTAAATATACTGTAACCAGTGTATATATACTGTAACTAGTGTAAATATACTGTAACCAGTGTAAATATACTGTAACCAGTGTAAATATACTGTAACCAGTGTAAATATACTGTAACCAGTGTAAATATACTGTAACCAGTGTAAATATACTGTAACCAGTGTAAATATACTGTAACTAGTGTAAATATACTGTAACCAGTGTAAATATACTGTAACCAATGTAAATATACTGCCTTAAGTGGTATTGAACGGGCAGGGAAAGTACCAAAGATTTGTGGCAGCGAAGAATCAAGCTGTGCATTTGAATGACGTCTTATGGAAGGCTTATAACGCCAAACGATGTCCTTGATGTCTAAAGGTCACGGTCTTTGATACAGATACAGGGTCCAGACCGAGTGTAAATACTTTTTACCAAAGCTGATATTTATTTCTTTAGTCCACTGTTATATACATATATGAATCTGACTCTTTATATAACTTTTATTGATTCAGAACATACATGTACTCAAGGTATTGAAACAGCGAATTTACTAGTATCTGTTGTCTTGTGCACATATCACTATTTGCCTTGTGTCGAGCCAGAGCTGCTTGTCGAATCATTGAATTGATACAAATATGGGTTTCGACAACTCTCGGATGATCAGTATACAAACTGATTTGCTTGTGCAAGTCGCGGCATTGTAATTACATAATATAAAATACACCTAGTACAATCATGTAATCTAGTTACGAATACTTGGAATTAATTGGTCTTCAGCAAGCCATGCTTGTCGTAAGAGGCCACTAACGGGATAGAGTGGTCAGGCTCGCTGACTTGTTTGGCACATGTGATCGTATCCCAATTGCGTAGATCGATGCTCATCATGTTGATCACTGGATTGTCTGGTCTAGACTCGATTATTTACAGACCGCCGCCATATAGCTGGAATATTGCTGAGTGCGGCGTGGAACAACGATCAAACAGACATGAATATAATATACAAATACCTCAAGCGTTCCCATATACGCTATTCCTTTGGCTCCCCCTCCTTCGAAAACGATATTATCAAAATCGAAAGAAGTTTGTTTCAGTAGCCACAGATCGCCTGCATCCATCGCCATTTTGCTGGATAATCACAAATACTACCAAGCTCATTGACTATTCTGGTCAGTGCTCCACGGGGAATTATATAGGTAAACAGGGCGTGGCGTTTACAGGTATGTGTTCTGAATCATTTGTTACTTTCACGTTCATATTACGTTTTGAAAGAGTAATTAAAACAATATTGTACAAGTGAGGGTTATATAGCCTCCATGGCTTCATAGATACAAGTCGAAGACTTCTACCTATACGGATGATAGTTCTCAGCCAAATGTGTCATTTCGGTGGTATGTCTCAGCAAAATGTGTCTATACGGATGGTAGGTCACAGCCAAATGTGTCTATACGGTGGCAAGTCTCAGCCAAATGTGTCTATACGGTGGCAGGTCTCAGCCAAATGTGTCTATACGGTGGCATATCTCAGCCAAATGTGTGTATACGGATGGTAAGTCACAGCCAAATGTGTCTATACGGTGGCAAGTCTCAGACAAATGTGTCTATACGGTGGCAAGTCTCTGCCAAATGTGTCTGTACGGTGGCAAGTCTCAGCCAGATGTGTCTATACGGTGGCAAGTCTCAGCCAAATGTGTCTATGCGGGTGACATTTCTCAGCCAAATGTGTCTATGCGGGTGACATTTCTCACCCAAGTGTGTCTTTACGGGTGGCATTTCTCAGGTTAAAGGTGTTAATATATCAACTTGGGCAAGAAAGGAAGCTGGTTTTGCATATATACACGCTTTGTTTTCTTCACACATGAAGATATGTTGAGCAGCGAAATATCTCGAGTACATGAAGGAGTTTTGACCGGCAAAAGTAACCGGATTCTATTGTTTATAAATTTATTGCGATGCACCTGAAGAAATCTCTCAGAAAATACTTAGATCCAGTTAGTCGCCTCTTACCACAACCAGGGGTTGCTGAAGACTACTTCTAGTCCGGATCGTGAAGGGTCACGGGATCTTTAATGCATTTGACATACATAAACTCATTTGGTAAAAGTATACCAGGGAATGAGCAAATGCTGTATCTACCTAACCAAGTCGAAGATCACCAGATTAACAATAGTCCCTGAAGTATTCATGATCTTCAAACTTGATCTTCAAACATGATCTGCTTCATACAAAGTCAGCTATGACAAACAGGTCATACCGGAGAGTACCATATACCATCTACGTATCAGTAACAGTAACATCTTGAGATCAGAAGAAGAATACTGATGTTTTATCTGTAGTGGGTTTACAGTGACATAGATTTAATCAAATTAACTATGATAACTATCAGTGTTTTCTTCTAACCTATTTTCTTGTCCTGTGTGGATGACTGTTGACTATAGATGTTCAAGTCTATACCAAGAAAGACCAAAGGTTGATTTAAGCTAGTCCCATTCCGTCTTAAAACAATAACACTCAATACACCAAGCCATCAAGCCCGTCCAATTTAGCCACCGCTTTAGCCGCCGATTTATCCACCGACTTATTCGCCGATTTAGCCACCGATTTAGCCACCAATTTAGCCCCCGACTTAATCACCGACGTAGCCACCGATTTAGCCACTGATTTATCAAAAAATGGCAAATGGGGACCAATCTAACCCCGGCTCACACAGATGATTTCATACATGGAAATACTTTATACATATACAGACCTGCGCGACCCCACAATAAGCCACACCTTTGGCTCCGCCTCCTTCGAATACGATGTTTGTGAAATCCAAGTCGGCTTTTTTTAAATCGTCTATGAATTTGTCGGCCATGACGATTCACAACAGTTTGAGTTTGCTCCCAACTCGTCTAACCTTACCTGCTTTTACCTTTCAATATTTATTTTAGTGTCTGACTTAATTTGAAACAATAAATTTTCCTTTGTGTCAGGTATGTTTGCTTAATGCTTTGCCGTACCTAGCAACACGCTGGTTGTGTTGGGTACTTCAGAGTACTTCCGTTCACACTGCATTGTCTAAATGTACGAATTCCCTGCGGGGACATCATTGGAGAATATTCGCCGGCTGTGTTTCGGTATCGTATATATTTATATGGTAGGAACAGTGAGTGAATGCGTGCGTGCGTGCGTGAGTGAGTGAGGGCTTGGTGAGAAAGTATCCTTATCAAAGCTCACTTGGAATTTTACCATTTTACTAAAAAGCAAGAGCAGACAGGAAGGTGAGGTGATGGCAAACATAGAAAAGGTTTGGATCAACAACCGTTTCGGTCCCTTACATGTCCAAGGGACGTAACTCAGCACAGTTAATTATCGCGAGCTAGAAGACCCGCAGACTAGCTAAATGGAGCCTGAGACTGAATTATCATTAGCGATAGTGAACCTCCCGGTTTATTTCATAGTCTCGCACGATTTGCAATCTCGTTTATTTCTGGAAATAACCAGACATCGGCAACCCCAAGTGTTGAGATGGGCGCCTCAGCCATGCCAGAATCCGGTTAGATAGCCATGTCGTAGATAAGAACATATTCACATGACGCGTTACTTTTTGTGATAGGCCGACAAAGTTTTGTCATGGAAGGGCTTCCGTAGATAAGGGAGGTTCAGAGAATGATTTACGTTTCTGATAAGCTAAGACTAACCCAGGCGATAGTATTAAAGCCCCACTGTCACTGCACATATTTGTATTTCTATACAGCACACTGCGCTTTGAATCTTTGAGATTAAGAAGAACGTTGGTCTTAAAACCATATACTGTCCAGACGAGATATTGTATTGGCGATACCCTTGACGCTTGTACAGCATCATGACTTAGGGTAATCACTATTGATATTTTGTAATATTGTTTGTGTTCGTAGTGGATTTCAAACGAAAATGTCATCATATTATTATGATACATTTGATCTAACATTTAAGACTTTGTTGATAGGCTTACCAGCTGTGTGAAAAACCCAGCAAGTGTTTAATGAAACATTTTTTTTCAAAGTGTAGTTAAAGGTTTTATGTAAGTATCATGGACTGATAGAATAGTTTTAAAGACAGGATTTGAAACTCGGGATTTGAATTTTGGGAATTTAACAATTTTAATGATCAAATTGAAATAACTATGATTGACGCACTTGCAAATATACATTGATAGAGGATAAGTGTGTGAAATCCCCTATGTATTGAAATCCTGTTAGGAATATCCCTATATTCGAACGTTTATTTTGATCCGTTTATCTCTGCATTTGCCAATCCGGACGATAGTACCGAGTTTTATCACCATAAACACTGGTATTAAAAAAAATCGGATCGAGAAATTAAACTGGCCTGTTTCAGCTCCTGAAACTGAGGAATTGAATGAGAATTGGCTGCCACAGCTGACAATAGAATGAGTGCAGGCTGTTAGAGATGAGAAAGGGATGAGTATAGGTTGCTGAAGCTGAGAGTGGGATAACTGTGGGCTTCTCGAGAAGAGAAAGAGATGGATACAGACGACTAGATATGAGAATGAGAGGAGTTTTAGCTGCCTGAAATGACAATTGATGAGTGGTTGTTGCTAGAGGCGTTAATGGGGTGAATATTGGCTGCCGCAGATGGCACAGGGGGACGTGAATAGAATGGGGCGTGTGTGGTGTGAGTATGTGTGTTATACTGAATATATGCTCTTAGGTCTGTAACATAGTCTACGGACAGAAGAACACTCATAATTGCGGTGAATCTTGGATGATCTTGTCGAGGAATGGAATTTGAATTCCCTAACTCCTCATGCTCAGCAAATGATCCATATGGGCCCCTGATCTCAACGCAGCACATACATCATGCTATGGCCGGCGCTGCTTTGCATAACGCGTCTCAAGATGAGTTCTGTATCAGCACCATTCACAGGCTATTGTCACTCAAAGCGATGTTCAATACATTGAGAGATTCAGATTGTACGAGAAACGACAGGGAATATGACAAGCAAATAACAATAAGGTTAATCCACACCTTTACCCTCCCCATCAGCAGAGTGATAATAAACTGTGCTTCTTTACTGAACTGGACTATGTATTGAACTCTCTTTGTTGAACTGCAGATACAAATATCTTGCTCGTTCATTCATCGAGATACGTGATGCTCGTCAGTTACTAGTAGAAGCGCTCGTAAAATCAGATAATGTCCCGACACCATCCCGTTTCCATCGGTGGTAAATGATAGTCAATTTACTTTTCAATGACAACTTTGGGAATTACGTCAAACAAAATTTATTGTTCTTACGTACAATTGTGTCATTCATTGCTTCAGGTTGCCCCGAAGGTGTGACGCGGTTCCGAGCCTGTCAGACGTTTAAGTTTTACACAAAGACATCAATCATGTTGATATCTTTGCCCTTTTAGTAATTGTGTAAAGAACAAGGGTTTTATCCTTGACCGAAACGCTCATACACGATTCGACCGGTTACGTTTTTATACATACGTTCTCAAGCCAAGAACAGGAATCGTTCACGAGTACAATGATCAACGCATTTCTTCTTCTTTCAAAGCATAATGTTCTGTGTCCACTTACACATGTATCATTGACACGGCTAAAGATAACAGAATAATGACAGATCATACTAGAAGTATGCACTAGGTCTAGAAGCATTATGTCGATGCAGTCACCAGCATTAAGGCTTTATCACTTAGGACATATAAATAATCTGGACCAAACAAACAAGTGATTGATATTGAGACCAACGAACCACGCCTGCAAGTCGCAGATACTGCCAAAGGGCTTCAGTTGGTCGTCTCTGGAATCCATCAAAGAAAAGGGCTAGAAGAGATAAAGAACCCCCTATCCTAATCGCCAATATCTGCTCCGCCAACACAACTGCAATAAAAGGGCACCGTGTACATGCCCACGTCATACTTAATGTACACAGTTTCTGTGCCCGATCATGGCCTAAACGCATTAACTATACTTCTCGATAGTGGCTCTGAAACTTTTCTTTTGTGAAGTAAGAAATCGTCTTGACGTGAAGAGGCCCTCGCGCGTTGCTGTAACGGATACATTGATATAGAGTGTTCCGTTTGGCACAGAGACGATGATTGATCGAAGGAACAACCAAAGACTCTTACAGA